GATGTATTTAGACATAAGACATGCCTCGGAATTTTGAGGATGTTGAGAACAGGAATTTGTTCTCTAAATCGACGCCAACGACTATCGATATTGCTAGGCAGTGATTCATCCCAATGAAGTTTCAAGGAACATAATTGTTGGATTAGGATTTTGCCAATAATGATGCATGGCCCAAGAAGACCTAAGGGATCGAAGATTTGAGCAATGTCAGAAAGAATTGAGCGTTTGGTTATGGCTGTTGGATTGGAAGAAGGTTCGGATATGCTGTACATGAGGTGATCGACGAGCATGACTAGAAAACACCTAGGATCTTTGCACGTTGATCTGAACCTATATTTATGATGGTTTCGGAATTATTAGACTTGCTTGCTGGTTGAAGACCATTTTTGAAGCTCAAAGCAGCCAGCAGAAAGAATGGAGGTGAGCTCATCACATACCTTTACTGCCTCTTCTTCGGATTGACAGCTAGATATAAAAATCTTTTGATAAGATATGAACTGAATGTGGGAAAGTGTCAGCTTGTTCTAAAGCAAGCTGCTCAATGCACCGAACTGATAGCCAGGAAGCTGAGGCGGTTCCGTAGGAAACCGTACTGAGTTGAAAGGTTTTGAGCTCTTGCGAAGGATCAGCTCTCCACAGAATCGTTTGCAGATGATGTTGGGTTTCGTCTATCCTGATCTGTCTGAACATTTTAACCAAATCAGCGCCTATGGCGATAGGACCCTGACGGAATCTCAGAAGAATTGAAAATAAGCTATCTTGAATGGTTGGACCTATGTACTGAAGGTCGTTCAAGGAATAGCCAGTGTCAGATGGAGATGAGCTTTGTCGTTCTGTTGTTCTCATTTACAACTACGTGATGAGGTAGGAAGTAAGAAGAATAAGGTACTTGAGAAGAAGGTATCTTGTCCATGTAACGGAGACTATGGTACTCTTCCATGAATCTAGTGTAAGGTTCGCGCAAAGTAGGTTGCTTGGAAAGTTTATTTACCATTGAGTGGAACCTTTTTATAGCACATTCTCTGGAGTTCCCTAAGTGGAAAGGATCTAGTTTAAGAGGAATTTGGACAATAGAACGACCACTTTCTCTCTGCGAGTGGTCATTTGGAAAATGCCCTCACAGATCTGCTCCTCCGAGGAGAAGTGAAGATTCTTTGTGACGACAGGTTCTTCAACCTCCCAAAATTTGGTTAGGAGATTATGGATTTCTTGACTTGTTGTCAAGTTGCATGAAGTTTGGTTAGGATTACCATTACAAACAGGAATAGGCCCGCACGGGTATCATGTAAAAAATCTACAAGACGTGAAAAAACCCTATAAGATGTCAACTTGCTTACTAGGTAGTTTTTAGGGTGCAAACAGTCGTTCCACGTTTGCTCACTTAGGTCGTGGCAAGCGAGATCCATCTATGAAGGAATATCTGAACGATACCAGATACTATTCTCTTCCCAAATATATATTATTGGTTGAAGAGAGCCGAGAAAGCCACTTAGTTCATAGACCTCAATGTGTAGGTTTAAAATGTGAAAAACGAAAGTTTGTTTGAGTAGCAAGACCGCATCTGGATGATTGTATTGGTCTGCATGTGTATAAAAAAGTGATATTTGATAAGTTGAGAACATTATTACTGACTATGCTGCCAATGAAGTAGATCTATTAGCTGTGCCAGACGAGTTAATTGTGTTTTTCTTTCTGAAGAGAGGTTGTGGTTGTGCTTTCAAAAACTTTGAGAAGAATTAAAAAAAATCACCACCGCGCCCGCGTTGTGTGTAACTCTACTACTATCATATATATGACTTGTAATTCGACAGTGTACAGTGAATATAATTGCAATATGTAAGTATAAAATATAAGATTCCACTTAGTTAATTCTCATCTGCAGTCATTGAATTAATTCATCTTTTGCGTTAGCATTTTGTTGAACTCAAATTCTAGTTGTCAGTATTCAGCTATTGTATTAATGGAAGGAAACATTAACAGTGCACAAGAACTCCAGCACAGTTTCTGAAACTGTGAATGCCTTGTCCACTTGTCACTATTATTAATAGATTCAGCGCTGGTATTTCAGTCAGATATACTCAAAATCAAATGTTATATTGTAAAAGTATTAGTAAAATTAAATAACGATATAGTTGTAACTGCAAATTTGCTGGCTGAACATGAAATCACTTAAATTACCCCACTTTATAAATCACTATTTAATGCATACGTTACTGTAACAGCCCGGACTGTGGTAAATCCTAAGATTTTCCGGTAAAACCTAAGATTTACTAACTCTCAATGTAAAAGTCCGAACAGTTCTTTTATTTCGAACTTTTACAACCATTTACTAGGTAAATCTTAGGATTTACCTCAAGGGCACGGTAAATATTGAAAAGACATTTTTTTACTATTAGAACTTAGTATATGCTAGGTTTTACCAGTGATGGCTGGTACATATTAGTTTTGGGAATAAAAAAATTAGTAATTCTTAATCATTTACTTAAATTACATATGTATTTATGAACCTTACATATTAGGGGCCGTTCAAGTATGAGCAGATTTATTACAATTATTTATCCCCCCCCTATCCCCCTTGTCAGCAAAAGTAAGCAAAGCTCTTACCCCCTCCCCCCATGCTTACGTAAACATTTGTCAATTAATGTATTGTTTTTTTTAATATTATAATTTATTATAACGTTATAATTATAATTTGAAAAATAAGAAAATGGATTTAGGATAGAGATTATATTTTACTGATACGGTATTCAACATAGAGTAAAGGACAAAAATATTATATCTTACTAACATAACAAATTTATTTTAAATTTTTGGTACATATATTAAATTCAAATTAACAGTCTTCAGTCCATGAAACCCGAATCCATGATTCTAGGTTTTCGATCGAGCCATTCAACATCATGGTGCTCTAAATTTTGAATAATGCACATCAGTTCATTAGCACGACGAGCAGCGACTCTTACAGGTCTAACTTTCCTATCACTTTTTTATGGATATTTTCGATGTGATGATTTATTGACTTGACGGAAGCATGATAAAGATCACACGTTTTGCATGTTCAACTTGATAGCCTCAATTTTACCGTCGGACAAAGTCGTAGGGCATTTGCAGGAAATCTTTGAGTAAAGCACTTAAGCGTAGAGCTAAATTCACTGGAAGATTAAGAAATTGCCCTCCTTCATCCAAAATCAAGTCATCAACTGTTTGTTTTACTTTTACAGGTGGTGGAAGAAATCTAGTAATCTAAGTAGGCCACTTCTTGGACGACAGCATTCTGTATTTCTACATTTTACAATTTGAAGCAAGTATTGACTCTCACGCACATGTTCTGAATACCATTTAATGTCTGTAAAATCAGGAAGATCTTGTTCACCTGCCCCAACATATTTTGCATTAACATTATAGCCATCAATTTCCATTAAACTCCATACTTCAGCTAATACATTTCCTGCAAATTCGAAATTAGATCCGACTAAGAGGAGCCATTCTGCGCTCTACTCTGTTAGACGCACTTCTTCCAGGAACATTGGTAGCTAAAAACAATGAATCGAGATCATGTCGCTTAAAGTGTTGTATAGCAAACCCTATGACTTTTTGATAACGTGGATTTTCATCTGGCCCTCCATCAACCGTCATGATTGCCACTGGTTTTACTAGTCCATGGTCAGTTTTAGCTAATGGTCGAAACTCTTCAAGTTCGAGAAGCGTCTCGAAATCCTGAGCATGAGTATTAGCAGTAGATGAACTATGCTTTCCACTTGGAATAGCGATGTATGTTGGTCCAGAATATCCAACGACTTCATAAGGTTAGACTACGCGTTCTAGGGGAATTGTTTGAAGCCGCGAAAAATAAACAAACAAGCCCTCACTGTATAATCAAATTCAAGCGGATAACCAAATGGAAATGGTATTTACCATTTTGGGTTGGTATTTACCAATCCGTTCAAGCGAGTGTAGTTATCAGTTTGGTTATAAGATCCGTGACGTCACGAATCAGCTGTTATATGTCATAGTTATCACCGCAAAATTGTGGTATTTACCCAACTCAAGAGTAGTTTTATATTTCTGGGTTATTATTTGAAATGTGACAAGTTAGAATTTTGCCGGGTATTGGATATTGTTATTGTACTTCAGCTTCATTTTTGAGAAAAATGATACAGGCTGACTTCAGTTTCACCATAAGCACCTTATTAGTTATACTCATTACGGTTGTTGGGGACATTTTAAATGTAGTTCCTATGCTTAACAAAGTATCCGGTGTAGCCATATACCACAAGAATATTAAAATATGGCCATATAAACTCACTAGATGATATCCACCTGTATACGGTTTTGCTAATTTCTTTTTTCATCATTTCTGCTGAATCAATAAATGTTTTCTTTGACATGCGGAAAAATTTAGAGAATTGAAAGTTATCACAGCTACAAAGCCATGGTTCCATCATTAAAAAAAAAATCTGAAAAAAACATTTCTCCCCTGAATATTATGAAAGGTTTCTTATTTAAACTTTCCATATACAGTTGTAGACGAAAAAGCACCGATTATTAAGTGATAATAAAAATAATTAGAGATTATATACGCGCTTTTCTAAAATAAACAACTTGCAACAAAACCGCGGTTAAAACCAACGCGTTCAAGCGATTCGTTTAACTGACGTCATCAACCCGTGTGTCATCTTGAACCATATTATAACCGCGGCACATAACACAGAAATTTTGGTTATTCGCTTGGATTTGATTTATGTATACATATCTGCTATTGATAGTTAGGTAATTTTAGATACCTGATTTGAGGCTATTTTAGTTTGGGATTGCCTCTGTATGATGCAAAACACTTTATAATGGAATTTGATCACTCTCAATCATAATATTCCCGTATGTAATAGCTGTCCATACATAATTAGTGCGTATTTCTCTGACTGTATCTCGTTTCAGTATCGCATCGATTTTTTTTGCTTAAACTGACTGGACTATGAAGCGTCTGACTCTATCAGCCCCATGTTTATTTGTTGACTGTGAACTCTTTGTTCCGTTGTGTTAAAGCAGCTAATATACAGTGAGTCGTGAGTGAAAAATTGGTAGAAATAGACAATAATTAAAGACAAGTGTGTGTAGTTTGTGGCAGACCATACTGGAAGTAATCCAACGTGAGTTTTCGTGTGTAAGTAATTAACGCATTTATAACCTCAAAATGCATGGTCGTCCCAACGACATCATATGAAGTCGTTGGGTTGTCCTTAGTCCTAGGTTTCTTAATAGCTTGATAAGAATAATTTCACTTGGAATATTTTGAATAATGATAATGGCTTAACGCATGGTTATGTATTTCTAGTTTTCCAACTCGTTCGTCGTGCTGCCAGTTACTGAAATGGATTTGGTTGGCTCAGATCATTGTGAGGATCAGAACCCGGATGTCGATATCAGTACAAGTAGCAATAGGATGTCTGAACCTGCAGAGATCATCATTGAATATGAGCACACCTTCACAAGTACCGATGCCAAAATTGGACATTCTACTCCTAAGCGGAAAAGGTTATGAATTGTTTATACATTAGAGTACCTATGTTTTGGAAAATCATTTTCAGATGGCAGGAACTGAATCTTCGTTTCTTCAGTTTTTAGCTAACACTCATTTGTAGTGCTTGGTTCACTAACAGTAATTTGTTTTTTTCTTGCAGGAATGAATCTATGAGTGCTGCAGTTAGAGATGGAGGGCTGAAGAGACTGACAAGTCCTCAATCAGACAACTGTGATGTCTTGTCAATATCTTCAACTACAGTGACAGCATCTGAATGCAATATAAGGTATTGCTGTTATTCATTCAAGTTCTGATGCACATTAAAGACCTTATATGTTGAATTCCAGCTACTTTGATAGTTCCCAGGTCATTGAATGAATGACAAAATTGTATTGTTAATAGTTTTGTTTCCATTTTACTGCTTTGTTGACCAAACAACACTATTCATGAGAAGTTAAAGCTTTATTTTATTCTTAACGAATTCCAGCTATACTGTTGTACTTAATTGAATTGATTATTTTGGCAACAAAATCCAATTCTTGGTCAATAACATGTTGTTTGCTTTCTACTGTCCCTAGTGACTAAATAATACTATTCATCAGTCGAATGGATTAGTTTACTGCAACTGTATACATTCATTTTGACATATATTTTTGTTTATAGTAACAACTCTGACACTGTTTTGGCAAGAAATGATAGTTCAATTACTCTGTCGGCCAGCTCATTGTCAGCAACAGTTACTGCAAGCTCTGATGATGTACCTAGAGAACTACCAAGCATCTCGGGGAAAATGACTAGGCATAGGCAAATAATGCAGCAAAGGTGAGTTCAAGTTTTCAAAATTGATAATGATGAGCACACAAAGTAATATCTATTATTTCAGATCCAAAATGCATAAGCATGTATGGAACATTTCTGGCAAAACTGTAGGTAGCGCAGAAAAAACAATAGCGTCTCTGAAAAAGAAAATTAAAAATCTTCACCAGCAAAATCGCAGACTGAAGTCTAAAAAAGTATATTCCCAGCAATCATTAATGGAGTATTTGAGGGAGACATGTGGTTTGACGCCAAATGCAGGACTAGTTTTGAATGTAGGTATCAGTTGCATGCTGCTACACACTTCAATTAGCCTAGAACTTATTGTTTCCATTTTAGTTTAACATGTTTACAATACTGAAAAAGATTTATGTTTTTTTTTTGGTTTTATGCAAAGTTTCAATAATATTCTACTTTGTAACATGATTATTCCATGAATATATATTTGTTTTCAGGCATCAGTGGATGATGGCACAAAGGAAATTCTGAAACGATTTATCAAGGGGAAGTCAAAACAAAAATATAATGCTTCTCTCAGAGCTTTTGCATTAACTTTGCATTTTTATAGCTCAAAAGCTTACGATTTTGTGAGAGAGCAATTCAATAAAAGTCTACCACACCCCCATACTCTAATAAAATGGTACCAACGGATAAATGGTGCACCTGGCTTCAGCATGGAGGCAAAAAACAACTTACTGTGTAAAGTACAAACGGAACAGAAGCATGGCCGTAAAGTTTTGTGCAATCTGGTCATGGATTCAATGGCAATTAGGCGGCGAATAGAATGGAATGGCCAAAAGTGGACAGGATACATTGACTTGGGTTTTGATATGGATGGAGATAAACTTCCTGAGGTTAAAGAAGCATTGGTTATGATGCTAGTGGCTATAAATGGCAAATGGAAGCTACCTGTAGGATACTTCTTCATCAATGGTCTAAGTGGAGAGGAACAGGCAAACTTAGTATCAAATCTTCTTACTTTTATTCACGATACAGGTGTTATCATTTGTTCAGTAACATTTGATGGGGCCTCTCAAAATATTTCGATGATAAAACACTTGGGAGCTGATCTGAAAATTGGAAACTTAAAAACCTGGTTCCCACATCCAGTTGATTCGCACAGGGTGTACGTTTATCTCGATCCATGTCACATGCTAAAATTAATCAGGAACTGCTTAGCAACTTATAAAAATTTCAAGACAGATCAAAATGAGTTAGTTTCTTGGGAATACTTTGAAAAGTTGGTAAACATTCAAAACAATGAAGGCTTAAGAGCTGCTACCAAAATTAAAGAAAGACATGTGAAATGGGAAAATGAAAAAATGAAGGTATGCCTAGCAGCACAAACATTCAGTAAAAGTGTTGCTGATGCACTGAGGTTTCTGGAAACAGATTTAGGTTTGAAAGAATTTGAAGGTGCTTCAGCAACTGCCAACTTTGCTGAAATGATAAATAATATTTTTGACATTTTTAATAGTAATTCGAGATACTCAAAATACGAATTCAAACAAGGCTTAGATGTCAATAATGCTCAGCAGATATTTGTATATTTGGAACAGTGCAAGACATACTTTGAAGGTCTTAAGACAGAAACAACCCCAGTACTTCAATGCAGAAGGAAAAAGGGTTTCCTGGGATTTTTGATTTGTATGGCTAGTTTACAGCAATTTTATCTAGAATATGTCATTGAATTCAAATACTTGAATTACATATTGACATACAAGCTGTCCCAAGACCATATTGAGCTATTTTTTAGCGCAGTGCGTAGTAAGGGAGGATGTAATAATAATCCAACTGCTCGACAATTTGAAAGTATTTTCAAGAGATTACTTTTGCATTGTGACATTAAGGGCTCCAAGTATGGAAATGTTGTTTCACTGGACAACACTAGTATTCTAGGCACTACATATATCAACACTTTGACTAAAACTAATTGTGGCAACATTCTTTCAGAGAATGATGATTATATGGAGAATACTACAGAAGTTTTAATATTTGGTAGTTGTTCATTACATCTGTGGCAGCTAACTCCGTATGTCTGTGATATTGTCGCATACATATCTGGCTTTGTGGTGAAAAATTTGAAAAAGTGTGTATCTTGTCATGAATGCCTGCTGCTAATGGAATCCAGTGAAACACGTTCTTTGTTGCAAAAAAGGAAGCAATATGGCAACTTAACACGAGCTTCTAATTATGTTATAAAAGTCTGTGAAGAAGGGGAGAGGTCTGTAAGGTCCTTGAAAGCCATTTCCAGCATATTTAGCAATAAACTTGGAAACATCGAAAAATACTTAGTAAGGAAGTTAAATACATCAATATTTGAAGTATTTGGTGACCATATTCTAGATGATAGCTTCGAAAACAATCATTCACTGCAGCTGACAAAGATGATTTTGGCTAAATACATAAGGCTAAGGTTACACCACGAGTCAAATTTAGCATCAGAATTTGGTAGACGATACAGAAGTGACCTCACAAAAAGCATACTATTCAGAAATCAGTAAAACTTTGATATGATTTTTCTCTACATTTTGTTATTTTCATCTCTGACCTTTCAACCTGTTAGAACGCCTCAGCTGAGTTTACGTGATTCAGATCATTCGAGATGATCAAAATAAATTAAAGAAGTCAATGATTTGTGTTTCTTGTGAGATGAATGGGACTTGAAGCCAACTTTTCTCCCATTCTTTTTTTTGGGGGGGGGGCACCATCACCGATACCTTTTTTCTATGGGACATCATCATCATAAAACCTTCCACTTTGAGGGGCACCAACATTACTTTTTGGTGAGGGGAACCAACATCGCCTTTTTGAGTGCTATGATCATTACACCAACATTGCACTTGTACATGGGGCACAGTCATCACATCATTTCACCACCAGCGCATGGGACCATCCCTGTTTTAAACTCAGATTTGTCCACTCTTTGCCAGAGTAGATCAAAAGATAAATCATTCTTTTCATGTGATTCTTACCTCAATTTTTGCTTATTGTTTGGGTTTTTTTTCTAATATTGTTTGAATTTTACAACCTTGTTTTATTTGTCCTCATGCTGCTATCGTTCTTTACAATTACAACATCAACTCTACCCTGATCTCTCATATCCTACTACTGAGCAACCAAGAGCTATAAGTATGAGCTTACATATGGCATGCTGCCTCATCTTTTTCTTGGGGTATATGTGAGGTTATAATGTGACTGCGTTCAAGAGTAAATTTTGTCTTTTTATTCTTTTGAAATTTTGTACGCGCCTCTTATACTGTTTAATATAGATTTAATATGTTTGGATAAAGTAGCTACATAGGGGTAAATTATTTATTGTATTGTGTATATCATATTTCTATTAAAGACGTTTTATTATTATTATAATAACTGAATTAAAATATTTCAAACATTTGTTGTTTAATTATCCCATTACCTGTATCCACTGTTACTGTTTTATAAAAATTATAATAAACCTACAGAAACCCAAATCCTCTTAAATACACTGCATCAGAATATGTTCTTTTGGGACTAGCTTGAGATGCTACCAAATATAACTGAATGTACCCAATAATTTAGAGTGACTGCACACTGCCAACTTTTTAGTTTCGGTGGAAACATTGCATTCCTTGCAAGGGAACATTTTATTTTATGGCATGCTGGCTCTAAACTTTGGATATTGTTCATGAACATTGTCTATTTAAACAACTCGTTCTTAGTTGTGAACTCGTTCAAGTCAATATCGGGATAATGATTACATATTGTACAACTTGCAAATTTTTCTCGCTTGAAATCGTGAAAATCCGAAACACGGATATTTTGGGTACATTGAAGTGCAATGAGATTCTGTATGAATGAATTGGTAACCTACTTAAACAAAATATTGATACGCCTATGGAAAATGAATGTCAATCGTCGAACGTTTGTTTACAAAACAGTCTTCACCTGTCCCCTTGCACCCCTGAAGCGGTTACAAACAATGACACGTATACATGCGTAGTCTAACCTTATGAAGTCGTTGAGAATATCCAACGGCTTGCGGTTGTCCGAGCATATTGGAAGTGATTTTGATACCAGCATAAACAGATGGTATTATTTTATGACGCTCAGCAATTACCCAATCGTGATAAGGCAATTTGATTCTATATTCCATGTGCATTAGAAGAGGTGCTTGCTTATTTGCCGCAGTTACGCCAATAGGAACTCGAGCTTTATCATATTGAGATATGAAAAATACTTGATCTGGTCCAAGTATGGATGCTTAAATAATGGATTGATGTTTCAGTGAACTTGCTATCTAAGTGGCTCTTGTGGTGATCAGTTTGAGCCCGAATGAGCTTAATAGGGACTGTCGATACATGTCTTCGTCCCTCTGCAGAATTAGATTTTCCGGGAATCAAACGAAGATATGTCCCACTGCGTCTAATGTCAAATCCTATTTTACGTAATTTTTGTGTGAGTTCATCAAGAGTTTTTACGCTGCGAATTGATTCCGTTTCTATCATTTGCTGCACTCCCAAATAAAGCTATATTCGCGATTGTTTTCAATAGTGATTGTTGATTGCTTTCAAGATTAGGACATCGCACTGAATCCCTCAGAGACAGTCTTTTTTTTATTTCTGGATTTTCATGACAAATATCTTCTTTCTTTTCATACCATCCCTGTTTAAAGACTGTTTTGCTGTTTTTATTCCCTCGCGCAACTTAATGATCTGTTTAAGCACGGCTTGACATAGTATCTCTGGCAGAATACAAAGCATTCAGATTTTTTTCGAGTAGAGCAATATTATCTTTCATAGCTTCCTGAGAAGGTTTTGCTCTCTGTTTATCTGTATTTTCATTAATTTCGCATTGCTGTTGTGATTCATTACCGGGTTTTATTTTATCTTCTTCCTCTTTTTTAATATTTGAAGCTGACTGTATAATTTGTGTTTTTTCTGCAGGTTTACAGGTTGCCTAAAAATAAAAACTTTCTATTTCTTCTGCTAAAGATTCTCTTATTAAGCTACATAAATACAAAGTATGGCAATATATATGGTAAATACAAAACCCTATGGCTTTAAATCAAATATGTTTAAACGAGCAATTCGTTCCGGTCAGAAAATACAGGGTGTTAGTTTTCTGTATATATGTATAAAACTAACATCCTGTACTTTGTGACCAATTGACGGAATCAATCATAAGAAATAAATCTATAATATAATAAATATTACCTCTATACTTTGAGATAGGCCATAATATTTTCTAATCAGTAAAGAGAAACTTTTTAGCGATTTCTAATATTTCTAGTACTGATA